AAACATCTTTTAAGCAAATGAACCAATCATTGAAATGTTATTGAATAGGGTGCTTAACTGGAAACAATTGCTGCGCACAGGGCTAAGCAGCACAATCACGTGTTATACGGGTGGTTTGATTCTAATGTCCCGTGCAGTAGATTCTTACGTCAGTGTTACGTGGGCTTTACGTTATCCGTGAACCCTTGCGGGTAAACCAGTTCAGACCAGTGAAGTCTTGAGGAGTTTAAACTAGTTTAAGTAGTAACTGACTTGCGCTTTTTAGAATAGATTCTGTAGATTCCACGCAGCTGAGATGATTAGGAGTTTCCGGTACATGAAAATGATTGATTCGAGCATTACTCTCAAAGAAACGGTTTTAAATTTTTGAGAAATGGTAATTCTCAGATTCTCAAAAATTCAAAAACTTGCCCAATGAGGGCTGCATAGCTCCTATTAAGACAAACAGACACAAAACAAAACCAATGTTAATCACAGTTCAGTGTTTTTTCGAATCTCATCAAAGAGAAGCTGAGCATGTAGAACATATTTACCATATTATCTTTTAGTTCAAATTGATCTAAGGGACGCATCTGGAGTCTGGCCTTGGCTGTCAGCAAGAGAGCATCTGTGGGTTTTTTCTTCAGCTTCACTGTCCTGTCATTTATCTCTGACCTTATTTTTTTAGGATTTCCATTTTTTGTCAACTAACTTTGACTGGGTTCCAATCCTTTTTATTACAACCAGTCCTTCGGATAGTGATTCAGTTATCGAAATTGCCGGTAAATTTGGACTCCATAAAATAAAACAGTACTATCTTTAAAAAATATTTGTGTGTCTTAAACAAAAGAAGCAAGGTTGATTTTACAGTCGGGAATATATATATGGCTCCTGATTTTTACCAATATTTCGGAAGGCACGGCCTTCCATTGGCCTTCCTTCTTCAGGGTCTTGCATTCAATGTGTCGTGCAGTTTTCATTCTCACCCCTCCTCCCTATACAATTAATGTTGAAACTAAAAGAAAAAGGATTGCCGAACCCGTGCACGTGAGAGATTCAACTTCGTAAATGTGGGGAAGGAGCTCAAGTAAATGCCCCACTTGCAAATCGTAGGCGAGAAGATACTGGGGACTACAATAGGTTGGGGACATACTGTGACTTGTTACATGGAACCCTACATGGACTGTGACCAAAAATAATAATCAATGATGGCTGAAGGAGGATTGTGAATCCACAAACTTAGGGCTGTAGGAGTAAGTATTCAGTGGGTTTGTTTTGTAGCTTTGAGATGTAAATGCTGTCCAGGAACAAGCTCAGTTCCGTCGATACTTGTCATGAATGGAGTTGTTACTCATCTCAGCTTTTCTTGTTGGTGTCTGGATGAACTGGTCATTTGCTGTTTGTAGTAAGCCTAAGTGGAACGACCTTTACGCCTTAAGAAATCTCGTTGGCTTTCAGTTGACTGCAGACTTGTGCAACATTTTGACGCATCTGTTATTGCTGCTTCCTTGGCCTTTGTGGGGCTATATTATCAACCCTGGAAACTACTTATGGACGGTAAATCCTCTTATTTGCAGACTATTCATGGTTGTGGAAGAAACAATTTCTATTTCCTGTGCAGCCAATGCAACCTGTATTTTTTGGACAAACGTAGAGAAACATGATTTAAAGCAGGAGAGGAAACGAAAGATAGCCTGGTGCATGGTGTTGGTGACTTTGTTGCTGGGTGGCCTGTTTGCAGTTGTTTACACTGAACTCATTCCTTTGCTTAATTATAGAGACATGAACGTTTCAAACTGTCCTTTGCATCCTCTTTCAATTCTTGGCGATCAGAAAGAGCTTAAATACGTCTTTGTTGGATATGTGGGGTGTTCAGCTATTATATTTTGGAGCACTGATGATAAAAGTAAGTCCCATTTCACAGAGGAAAAACCAAATAACAGTGTCCACGCTCTTGTCAAGGTTTTGTTCATAGTGTGCTACTACTCCACAATCTTTGCTCTTGTGTTTGCCATCATTTGCATACCAATCAATTTTCTGGGAGGTTCATTATACAGTGTTACATTTAACAAAGTTAAACTACGTTTTGATATCATCATATTGGCGGTAAGCATCATTCTCCCAGCATTGTTGGCACACATCCATGCTTCTGAAAATACTGGCAATAGAGGCTACTCTATGGAACTATCTCGTACAGAGAGAATGCCAGGCCTTGAGCAAAGACACATTAAAATAGGAATGAATAATAATGGTAAAAAAACTTAACATAACAATATAAAGGACCCAGTCAATTCCAAGTGCACCCAATCCCCCCCTCTCACTAGTAGGCATTTGATGGGCTTTGGTCACACTGTGTGTTCCTACTGTGTTTTAACGGTGCCAAGTTACAATCTATTTAGTTTTGCTGTGAGGGAGGTGGACTGCAAAACAGTCGTTTTTTTTCCCAAAAATCAGTAAAGAAATCAGTAAAGCATGACGTAAGAGTCTCACACGCGAGAAGTGCATGAGCCTCACCTCTCCCCAGTCTCACACTCTGTTTTCAGCCTCGTTCCAGACCTTTTGTTTGACTGCTTGCGCATACTTGAATACGCAAAAATACAGACTGTTTTGCAGTCTATGAGGGGGGACACCCACATGGACACCAAGGAATATACCAATTTTCAATGCTCCATTCTAGAGCTCTCTCATTCTAAGTTTTTTTTTTTGTGCAACTGAAATTCAGTGTGTAAAGAAAGTTATTCTGTAGTGTCGGATAGCCCGGCGCTAGTGGATTTTGCTTTCAGGTTAGTGAATTCTGTTCTTAACTTGCTTGAAGGGCAAGTGATGTTTTTTTAGGAATTCAAATTGAAGAAGAACTGTGAAATCAATTCTGCTTGTCAAAAAGCTTTTGGGGCTAGTTGAAATGACGTTTGGGCTAGTAAATGTTACCTTCAGCTTGCCTGAATGGCAAGCTGTAAAAATGATTTTCTTTGCACCCTGAATATTACAACTTATTCTAGGAAATGTAAGACTTTGATGTGGGAATGTTCTAGATTGAGTGTCCAAAAATCATTACTCTACTTATTGACACATTTCAGTATCAGTGTTTTGAGGTGGTGGTCCCCTCTTTGGAGAGAAAGGTACAGTCGATTCACGATAATACAAACCTTCCAGGGAAATTGAAAAAAGCTCGAGCTATCAGGAGTTTGAGTTGTCAAGGGTAAGATTATATAGAAAACGGTTTAAAGGGAAATGAAAATTTCTTCGAGTTAGTGGGAGGTTCAAGTTATAGAGGGTTTGAGTTACCAGGAGTCAGCTGTATTGTTACCAGGATAACTGGGCATTGCTAAAGCAGGACCCTGCCAGTGGGACTGGAAGTGATTCTGCTTTGCACCGACCTTTCTAAGAAGTAAAGGAAAGCTTCACTAAGAACCTTACTTGAGAATGTACATGGCTACACAATGTTTGAATAGGAAAGGAACTGAATATAGGGTAACATTTAGATAAAATCAAAAATATACTTCACGGAACCATCATGGTTTAGGCATTGTGGATTCAGAAACCAAAAACCTTCACGGAGAAGATAAAATAAGTTACTGTAATTCAATGACACTATACGTAACATAACATAACATTGACTTTATTTATACTCGAATTTCAGAGGAGCCTGAAAGGCTAATATCTTCAAGAAAATAGTAGATTACAAATAATTTAATTAATACTATAATAATACTTTTTTATTCCTTGAATAATTTTAAGAATTTTATGCAGTACTAATATTTTTATTTGTTATTTATAAATTTATAGATAATATAATATAATATAATATAATATTTGATTTTGCTGTTCAAGGCTTAATAAATTCCATATACCAGTATGTTAGACTTACTGTAACACCATTCCCTGGAGGAATGAGTGATCAAGTATTATAAAATAACACTATACTGATGTTGAGACTACACCAGATTCAAAGATGGTTAACAGCTAGTTGGCATGCAACAAAAATGTCTTACTACAACAAAAATATTGGGGATATTGCATGTCAACTTCAGGCTTATGTGTGCCCAATGTTGTTTTGTGTTGCTTTTTTGATGTTTGATAGTTCACAGCCTCAACTTTTCAAGGCAAAGTACAGAAAAGGTAGTAACGGCTAGCTTAAAGTAGCAGTCCCCTTTGCCTGCTAAATTCGAAAGTAACAGGGGCCATTTCTTTCAGAATTCTATGGTATTAAAGGAGAATTTGTGATTATTATTAACAAATATCCATCCGGCCACAAATAAAGCTGAATATAATATTATAAGCATGGCAAAAAATAAATTGCTCTAATAGTCTATGAGATTTTCTCTGTTTTCACTGTCATGCCATCAAAAATAAAAAAATGCAAACCATCCAATACAGAAAGTCCAGAACTTGGGACATGAAAGAAAAAAGATATAAAAAAACGCTCACCAAAAATCAGGACTGTGCAACATTACATATCCGAGATGTTCGGGAAAATGTTTTACCCAAATAATTGATGTATGGAGACACCATGTTGGTGTCCTTTTAAGGGGCACTTATATGGCAGCTGGAAACCAACAGAAACATCTGTCTTGAATTTTCCTCGTAAACTCAAAGCTTAAATTTTATTGTGAGACAAGGAATGTTTAGATATCAAAATCTCGAAAAATTGGTAATTTTGTTAGTGAACATAAGAGCTTTCCTGCTCCAGCTAAATGCCCTTCACACAAAAGCTTGGAAATTCAAGCGTCCTCTATCACAAAACAAAGAACCCTTACTAACCAAAGATTTGTTAATAAAGATGTTTAGCTTCCTGTAATACCTCATGAAAGGAGAAACTCGCAAGAATAGATAACTCCTTGGTTTGAATTTATGTGACGTCACATGAAAACCAAGAATAAACACTATCACCTAGACATCCAAAAGCTAAAACTGGAAGCACAAAAAGAAGTGAAACTAGATCAAAGTACACAAGATAACATGCTTCAAGCTGCCAGTACAACTATCCACTCTCACAGTTCTCCCTTTAGAAAAGTAGCTAGTTAGGTTTGCTGGAAAAGAACTTGGCCAAAGACCAGAGTATTTAACAGGTTTAGCTCCCTATCAAATAAGAGTAGATCTGCTCTTTTTCCCACTTCTATCAATCCAGTGTGTGAAATCTTGGCAATTCTAAAACACACAAAAAAATTTGTCAGGATGGATGCAATCATTGTAAAGTAATCTCTTTCAAACCATTTACATTATTCTTTAACTTAAAAGTAAATACATTATGTTTTGAAGTCATTTATATTATAACCTTAAAGAGGGTTTGCCACACCGAAAAATTAATGTCATGGAAACCATTACCATCTGATACTAGAAATGCCTGTATAATTATTATTTGACACATCTAAGTCAACACTCAAGACATTCTTACTTAGCAAAGCTTTCAGTTTGTAATTAAATACAATAACGATTGTGATGACTAACATGTTTATGACTGTTATTACTACAAGTAACTCTTTTACATAGTCGTTCAATATTGTTCTTTACACATGACCAAACATATTTGCATGGTAGTAGTCTCAGGCTGCTTTAATATCATTTAATAATGACAGATGTATTACATGTACTATAACTGTTATTCAGTGATTCTTTGAACTTAAATAGAGCATGATTCAATCTTTGCGATCAAACTTTTAGACTCATAAAACTGTGAAGACCAAGAATGTTTTAGAATGCTATTATGTTGTAAAGGAAAAGCCAATCAGCGGTAAGTAAACAAAACCGCAAGTAACAATTAACAGTAATCATTTTGTGGTTCTCTGACTTGCTCGCTTGCCCTGATACCGTAAAATTCCAAAAATAAGCCCGGGGCTTATATTTTTCAAAGGCCCTTTTTGAGTGGCTTATTTTTGGAGGGGCTTTTATTCGGAGGGGCTTATCTACGGAGGGAAATTTGCGTTTCAAACTCGATTGGGCTAGCCTTATAGTTGCAAGTAAATTTACCATTTTGGCTTTGTTTTACTTTGTATTTGAGGGCAATTTTCCAAGTACAAGCCCCCGGGGGGCTTATATTTGGAGGGGCAATTTAACGGAGGGTTTTTTGCATTACAGGTTTGGGGGGCTTATATTTGGAGGGGCTTATTTTCGGAATTTTACGGTATTAATTTGTTGTGATTGGTCATAAAACAATGAAAATTCCTGAAAAATTTCAGGTGTTCACCGTTTTCTGAGTTTGGCAGTAATTCATTTGATATCTAACTACCTAGCTGGATTTTCTGACAACATTGCCACAGCTTTTCCAATTGGGACTTCAAAAGTATTCACCAGAGTGTGAAATGTCTGAAGCAGAGTGTTGCAGCTTCCAGCCAAGGTGTTTGTTCCTACAACTGACAGAGTACAGCCACTAGCACATACCTGTACTGAAACAACAACAACAACAACATAAAAAACTCTACTGTCAGCTAAACAATTTTCAAAATGGACAGATTTCTTACTGATCAGTAGGAACATCCAGTTTGTCAAACAATCAGATCAGTCCTGTAGAAATACACCTTGTAACTGTTTGTTGTGTAAATTGCAATGTTAACACTTACTTCCTTCATTTTGAAATTTTGATCCTAAATACTTTTTACTTGCTTTGCCAAATTTCAAGTCTATTTACTTATATCCACACAACAAGATACAAAATATATTATATTAAATTAAACTTATTATTTGAAAAGATGCGGAGGTTTGTGAACAATACCCACTGGGTGAAGATAGTTCAAACATCTGATAATATACACATGAATTTGTGCAATGTAAGTAATAAATTTATTATATAATAATATCTAATCTAATATTTCATTACTTAATTAATATGCAATAACTTACACTTGTCACTTGACAGCTGGGGTTTTGAAGCATTAGGGCATAGAAGGACTAGGAAAGAGGACACATCTCTACATGTAGTTCTCCCATACAAGACATTTCATTTATTTCATTCAGTCAGTTATTTTATTTATTCAGCGTAGAATTCATCCTTAAAAGATTATCATTACAGGCAGCTTTTCTTCATTTCAATATTTTCCTAAATTCAAACTCATTATTTCATTCAGACTCTGTATTTTATGTGATTACATTATTGACTATCAGTGCATCTTACTTTGTTTGTCTCCGTAATTGACTGTTTTTCCAGGAACACCCTCTAATATGCAATCAGTTATGAAAGCAATATTCTGAAAATCCCGACTTTTTAATAGCAATGATATGGCAGTTGCATCTCTGAAAATACATACATACATACATAAAACTTTATTAATGTGTCTTGGAATGTCTAGCCGATGAGGTTAAGAACCCCTCTACTAACTGGGGACACCTAACAATATAATATAGTTACCTAACAATATAATATAGTTAAAAACCTACTAACTATCAACTAATGAAATAATTGATTTAAAAAGATTAAGAATTACAAAGGATGCAATTGGAGCAACTGTCGTTGTCTATCATTACACCTAGATCAAATTTACGAATACAATTTTTGAAACTAAATAATGATGGGAGAGTTCTGATTTCGCTTGGTAGCTTATTCCACACCTTTGGTCCCAGGTAGGTGAGCGAGTGTTTACCATATTATTTTATTGGTCCTAAAACTGGGAATGGCGAACTCTGCCGTCCTCAAGTTGTAGGGTGAGCAATGCGCGTGAAATAGCTCGGATATTTTGATGGGGCATAGTTTGTGTTTCACCTTATACATAAGGATAGCAATATCTTGCAGTCTTCTGTTCTGAAGAGTCGTTAGGTCACTTTTGTCCAGCAATGCTTGGTAGCTTGATTGCTTATCTAGGAAAACTGCGTGTAGTGCTCTTTCTTGGACCCATTCAAGCTTTCTTTTGTCGGTAGCACTACAGAAATGCCAAGTCAGGTGGCAATAGGTTAAGTAAGGCAATATGGCTGATTTATACAGAGTTAATTTAATGAAAATGAAAATGTCATGAAAAATTCACAAGTATGTTTACAATATATTTCTAATTTTGTAGACCAAACTTTGTGTATTCCAGCAAAAAGAAAGTCACTTACACATGGGCTAAATCCCCTATGATCTCTACTGTTGGAGGGTTTATTCCTTTGTACTTTGGAAGGTTTGGTAACTCATCTAAAAGTCCAAAATTGACTAGGCCAGGAGATCTATGGATGTAAATTTAATAACATTTTCAATGTCTCTTAAAACATGCCCATCTCCACCTATTTGCAGATGTCATGTAAGAATATTATTCTTTACAAACTAAAGCCTTTTATATGGGTCTTGATTATAGTTTTGAGTTTGTATTTTATTGAGAGCTAGCCTGAAATTTTCTCCTCTCAACGTCGTTACTGAGGGAGTATTTAACGACTCAAAGTAATCGGATGAAATTCAGGCTAATTAAGTGCAGACTCGTGGGAAAAATTGTACAATGTTTATAAATTATCATTTTTAATATAGTGTTTATGTGGCTATATATACAAACCTGTGATGGAATGAGCAGACATTAAACAAGTGTGTCAGATGGAATTGCTGGATTTTACTAAGAGACAAAGCAGCCATGATTTCTTCCTCACTAGCCTGTTTATCATGGCCAAGGGCAGGAACTACACCCCTGATAGCAAACAAAATTAGAACAATAGTCAATAACAAAATTATGCTGACACATACATGTTGGTCTATGTCACTCGATAACTTGATTTTTTTCATATGAAAATGGTTTATCTTGAGGCCCTGCCAGGGTAAATTCCGACAAGCGACATGACCCAAAAAGTAGCGACAGAGCCTAAAATGAAATGGCAACAAGCGACAACCTCCCGCTGCCAAATTGCGACAGTGACGGCAAAGCTGAGAATATGCGACAAAGAACGGTGGTTTGGCTAATTTATCACCAGTCTGAATGCCTAGAAGAAGTAATTTTCGTCAATTTTCCTTGCGCTTCAGAGGTTGTCTCTCGTCAGGGAGTTTCAGTAGACCCTCGCGAGCGCGTCGCGTTGGCCCGTCGCGTAGTCTTTATTTACGCAACCCCGCACAACTCCTGGGAGACCTTGGGACTAGGTTGTCCGTCAAATAGCTTAATTTACGCTCGCTTTACATCTCTTGTAATCACTACTTTCATAATAGGCCATGACGCACCTTGTTTTTCCCCTCAGAATTTTGCATAACCAATGTTTCCAAATTCTCCAGGGTATTACAGTCGTCCCAAGAGAAATCGAAAACAATGGTTATGCAAAGTTTTGGGGGGGTAAACAAGGTGAATTATGGTCTATGTGAAAATGGTGAATACTTTGCTTGTTTCTGAACTTCTCATATCTTCGTCGACCTCTGTCGGACGATGACGACGGTGGAGAAACCAGGGACCAGGTGACCTAAACACCGCACAGCGTAGACCACCGTTAACCAGCCTTCACGTACGATTTATCAGGTCAGTTAGTCTTAAAATGTTGAACGTGGATCACTTAGGGTGTGCTGACAGTGTTCCTTTAAGCGAATCCAAAAACGGATTTCTGATCCGAGATTTGCCGGATTTCGCGGTCGAAAGGAACGTGAAATCCGAAATTGGATTTGTGACCTTGGTAACCTTTCGCAAATGCATGCAATATGCATGACAGCCTGAGCCTCTCAAGAAATTACATGTTTTCTACTGTTTGACAAATTATGCGATTATACTGTGCAGAATTTTGTGGTCGGCAGTTCGAATAACGACGATGGAACATAAACAGATCAAGAAAGTAGCGTGTTAAAGTTGAAAATTATCTAAAGGTTGTCGGCTCAGTTTGATCCCGTTTCGTAGCTCGGTTTTCTATGTAACACGATCGAGTGCCTATCGCGTCCAAGAGCGAGTTTGTAGAAAGATAGCAGATATTTGTCCCTTTTACATATTTGTGTTTTTAAGCAATCTTTAGCAACAAATGGTCAGCACATGGACATTTTACTGTACCACCATGAACAATCTTCTAGTGTTTTCAGATGTTTTACGGCAAATGGCAGCAATTAGGAAACTCTACGGGAATACTTCAACTGGAAGTACAGCTGGATCATCTGACTAATTTCGAATCCACTGTGAATGGAACAGCGTAGATGACTAATCCGTTAATCTTGATTCGGAATCTTCGGATTTCAAATCCAATGTGAATCCTTTTTCAAAAAGGATTCACCAGATCAAAAATCCGAATTTGGATTTGCCGAAAGGAACATGAAATCCGTTTTAAGATCCAAATCCGTTTCTGGACTCACCGAAAGGAACACACCCTTAATTGTGAATGGCGATGTATAGGTGTTCTATACGCGAAAGGTTAACTGAGAAATTGCTCAACTGTAATGGTTTCTTTAAAACCCATCGCTATCCCCCTTTTCTAAAATTCCGACAAAGACAAAGAATTTTCGTTCAATTTCTGACAGCGACGTGAAGCATTAATAAACACCGACACGAGACGTTTTAAAATTCAGACGAGCGACATGGGAGCCCCCCCTGGCAGGGCCTCTATCTTGGTTGAGGGTCCCTAATAAACAAAGTACCATGGGACCATGGGTTCACTTTTGGTTTTAGACAGGTACGCATTTGGCTTTAGTGTACAGCCACTAGTTCTGGTTTCAGAACAGCTGGCTTTTGAGATTTAAGGTGGATGCCTACAGACAATATTATTTTCTGACTAAATAGAGTTATGTTTGATATTGTGTCAGACCATCATCAGTGGAGTGAAGCATACTTTTTGTTACATTGAAGTCATTCTTATCAAAAAGGTGCTTGTTTTATCAGGGATCCACTATAGTTTTGGATCAAATTAAGTTGTTTTCCTGTCATAGCAGACACATGGTGTCTTGTTTTCTGTTTGAAGATACCAGTATACTGTAATTAATACTGGAGGAAGTCACTAAGGAAAGAAAAAGTTTGAATCTTAATATTAATATATCATGCATTGAATCCAATTTCACAATCATACATTGTAATAAGTGGTATTTAAATTTTGATTAAATCACAGTTTTTTAAACATGATTTTTTTTTCAAACAAAACTGATTTACTTTGCCCAGCCAAACACAAACACTTTTTCCTTTTACCTGTCAATATTTGAATCAATGTTTATTTCCCCAAAGGATCAAAATATTTGAGTTTCAACTATGACAAACTCAATAACAAGTAATCAATTTTATTATTGTTCTTGGGATTGATGAAGCTTAAGCATTTTTTCACTTTCACCTATTTAACAGACATTTTATCCTGCTTTGACTCACAGCTGCTTCTGCATGTGGACTGATTGTCATGACCTTCAAATTTGCGATCTTGTTAAGGAGCTCTTCAAACTCCTCACATGTCATCTCATTATAACTTTGAGGCATTGCTCCAAGATCTGTGATTATAGGTCCCTGCATGAAAATAACCAAAATTGCATCCTACACATGAGATTTTCAGAAGTTTGCCTGTGTTTTCAAAATTCTTGTGAAATTTGACATCCATTTTCTCCGGCTCCCATCAGAAATTTTCTTTGGTGTTATTACAGATGACTACAGGGTAATTACATCTTTACGCCTTGGAAAATGTAAAAAATGATGCAATATTCTTTAAATTATTGTGGTACAAGATTTTTGTCCACTGAGAATTAAAATTACTCAATTTCCTGGTGGATTCTGCCCTAATTTTTTCCTTCAAAGTGGCTGCCTAGAGACAAGTTTGAATGACCAATTATTACAACTACATTTTACGACTACACTGACAGTAACTTTATCCTTGAAACACACATATTTTTCCCTATTTGTATAAAACAGAAAAAAATGAAGAATTAAGACAAAAATGACAAAACATAACCTTATTGTTTTAATAGACCTGTTGTGCCCCACCTCACAGTGAATACCCTCCAACACAGCACCTTCGCCATCAATGCATCCAACTTGACTGTCCAATATTTTAAGTAAGCTGTCCATTTTACTGCCCAGCGGATGGTCTGAAAAAACAACTGTAGCTAAAAACGACGTTGTTCCATTTTGCACAAGTTTGGCTCTTGTGAATCCTACAAAATATATAACAGGCAGAAATATCAGCTCAAAACATAACACTGAATTGCATCACCTTATCTCAAAGGAGCAGTGGTGTATATGTATATAAGAAGGTCAATAAATAAATAAACACAGATTCCCAATCACTGAAACTCCTGCACATGATAAAAGAGGCTACTTCACTTTGCATCACTTTGCATCGAGTGAGTTACCTAAATCTCTACCTGGTTAATTAACTACAGGTATTATTCACTAGTTAATGATTTCTCTACGAAAAGTGTCTCAACAGAGAAGATTGGTAAATAAGACTAATGAGATTAAGACTGCGGGCCAGATTGAAATGTTTCAAAATATAACCTACAAAATGCTAATACTTAAGATGAACCTCACAACTAATCGTGAACAAAGAGCATCCTACGGGGTGTAACTGAAATATTACTTTACACTGTATTTATTATTGATTAAGAATCAAGGTACACTGACTCAGCAGAGTTAAACTTTAATGAATCACTCAATTCCAGCTGTGCCCAGCCCCCATTAGCATTTTTTCCCCTTGGATGGAATTGACTGATATATAATAATTATTCTCTCCAGATAATACATGTAACCTTGGCAAGTGTCAAAAAGTGAATGTCTTGTTAATAAGTTCAGTCATATTTTACACACACGGTCACTGGCAACTAGCTAATGGTAGTTTAAAAATAACACTTTAGAATAAACGCACCTGGATTTTTCCAGAACTCTGCAACATCATCCGCTCCACCTGTTAATCATAAAATAATAATTATTACTAGAAATACATGAATCGCAGGACCTCGTGAAGCACTTCGGGGGAACAGCAAGAAGTCGGAAGAGAGGGAAATAGGGAAGGAAATTTATAAATTGAAAAATTTTTTTGCTATATAAAGAAACAATACAAAACTACAAAAACCAAACAATACACTAAACAAAAAGGAAAAAAAAAAAGAGAAAAAGAAAAATAAGTTCCGCCAAGAATTGAACTCAGGACTTCCTATTGCCGGGTCATTTTTTATTTATTTGTAAATTAAGTGCTCATTCTGAGCTTTATTATATTCAAGTGAGGTAAGTTATACTAGTGTTGTATTCTCTTACAAGAGGTTATATTCGTTCAAACCGTGTAACGTTCCTTAGAGTTCAAGGTATGGTTTGTGGCAACATGCTATGTGTTTTGTGATAATATTTTATTTAAAGCATTTTCCCTAGCACTTCTGCCGGCACTCCCTGTATAATGCTGATCGAGCCCCATGAAACATAAATTCAAAGATAGTTTTCAGGAGAGTGACTGGTGTTTTGACAGTAAATAGTCCAGCTTTAATAAACTCATTTCATCGCATGTAAAGAACTGATGCCCAACTAAGCTGATATGGTACAGACTGGGACGCAAAACATGTGTTTTGTTCGGGGTTTTCATTAAGAATTCTAGTAGTAGGAGAAAGGTATTACAGGAGAATAGTTTGAAACAGGCTCAATGTCTGAGTAAAAATTAGTCATGTAGGCTATCGAACGTTAGCTGGAGAATTCTCCATAGCAAAAGGACAATTCTCCAATCCTTGATGCCTAATGAACACCCTGTTTGTTACCTCCATTTTTACTCATATCTTTAAGCTAATGATCCAAATTGCTTACATTTTCTCTTAAAATTACTTTTGCCTTCGAAATTCATCACAAAAAGCACTTATTGACTCCCAAAACGGCCGCTAAAAAAACCAAACCGACAGATATTAAAGCAAATAGGCTCATAGGATTCACTTGCGAGGTTGTAAAATCGGTTACCTGGAAACCCACAATGCACCTTGACGTCCCTTTGGATGATATCAAGGAGGACACCAACCACCAAACTTGATAGACTTATAGCAAAGGGACAATTACAGCAAATTCCGACAAAAATATAAACTCACTTCACAAGAAATTATTGCATGATTGATATCCGGGTGCAAAGAAAATCATTTTTACAGCCTGCCATTCGGGCAAGCTGAAGCTAGCATTCATTTCAACTAGCCCCAAAAACTTTTTGACTAGCAGAATTGATTTCACAGTTCTTCTGTCATTCGAATTCCTCAAAAAACACTTGCCCGTCGGGCAAGTTAAAAACAGAATTCACTAGCCCAATAGCAAAATCCACTAGCCCCGGGCTATTGGAGACTACTTTCTTTGCACGCTGGATATATAAGGACACTGATCATCAGCATCTTTCCCAGGGACAACCGATAGTCCGCATTTGACATTGTAATTTTGATACATTTAATTTACTACTTTCTTACACAGGTGGAGATCTGGTGGTAAAAATATAAAAACTTTATAATATGGGTTTGAATCCCATTCAAGACTAATTTTTTTTTTCCGGGTTACTTTTTACAACTGCCAAAGTTGTTTGATCTTTCACTTGTCAAATCTTCCCTCCCAAAACTTTGTGAAAATAATTTCTCACATTCATGTATAAATACGTATGTTCTTGTGTGGATAGAGATGAATGCAAAAGGTTGACGGAGTTTACAAACTTAAACAGCAGACACCTACAGACACCATGGGGGTGGGGTTGGAGGTGGGGGTGAACTTGGAAAAAAATTAGGTGAGACCATTTTTTTTCCACAGAGGTCTTCCAACCCCCCTACCCCCATGTGTTGCTACCTCACCTCAGATTAAGAGTTAAATGTTGTAGTTGCAACTGAAAAGGGTGCTTTTAATATACCTTTTCTTCCCATAACAAACTTTTTTGTTTATGTATATTTTTGGATGACTGTTAAACAGAAAGACCAAAATTTGTCATAAATAAAAGTGGAAAGGTAAACCTCATTAAGTGACCTCATGGATCAAAACTGGAACCGTATAAAATGACGCTAGAATTAAGAGTAACTTTGCTGATTCATTGTCAATTAACAATAATTGTAATTATTACATGTAAAGTCACTCACCCATTCCATGGTTGTGAATATCAATAAAACCAGGAGTAAGAAACTCACAAGTCAAGTGTTCATTGCATTTTCCTGTGCATTTATCAATAGCTTCAATAAAACCTCCATTCACAATAACGTGAAATGGTCCTTCTTTGCATTCTCCGTGAGGAAAAACAACGTTTTGTGCACAAATCAAAGCAGCCATTTCGGCTGCCATTTGAGGTCATTCAAGGGTACGGAGATCTGGTAACGAGAGTGAACTTTGATACCAGATGCGAATAGCATTGTGGGTAGAGCGTTACGTTGACAAGAGCGCGTGCGCAAATTGGCGAAAACCCCGGTAGAATTTACAACGGGGGAAGAAGTGATAGTGCGGTAACCTTGACTGGAGTTTTCCACGATATCACAATGCTTTCTTCAGCTGTTAGGGTGGGATTGAGCCGGGTGTCGGTCGCTACCAAGAGATGCCTTCTACCAACAATCAACGCAGGTACTACTTTCAGATTGTTTTTTTTGTGTACAACACTGCGCTTTTCGTGGCTGAAAGTTTCACGTGGAACTTGCAGTGATGTTAAGTTTTACATCAGTATAATATTGTTGTTCTATTTGTGAAGTTATTGTTTTTGAAGTTTCTTATTTGCTCTTAACTCTGTAATTTCACATATAAAATAATGACTCTAAAACTACGCATAAAATCTGTTAGTTTGGAATTGACAAGAATTTATCTTAACTTATTTTACAACAGTACGAAGGTCACGCAAATATTTTAAAACGAGGAAACAGTTGAATATGACAACCACACCACCAACCCACCCCCTTCGTAGTTAAAAGCCTTTAAACCCTGGCGTGGCTTTTAAAGTTATGCGCCGTTTCTAAGAAAGCATGGGCTATTTTGCTACCGCGGTGGACCTGAAGAAAAGATATATGGGTACTTTTGTAACTTTTTATAGTGTTCATCAATTTATCTGAATTTATAGAGTACAATGTATCAGCTAAAATTTCGGAATACCTGGTCACTTCTTTGCATAACATTGAATAACAAAAGTGCCTATTGTTTTATACCTCGTTCTTTAAGCATTCCGACAAACGTAAATGATGTGGCCGGGTGTTCTGAAATTGCTCCCATTAGTTTCTGCCTCAGGACCATCTTGGACCCTAGAAGAACTGTTTTAATAGGCCATTTTTTTTTACTTAATATGCATGACACACGGCTTTCCCAATCACAGATTATTAATATTATTATTACTATTATCATCATCATTAGTAGTCTGTTGTAGTAGTGTATCATGCATCTTATTTTGGTTGATGATATACATGTACATGTACTGTACTGTGTCTATCTGGGCAACAGGGAACAAATTATCTTCCATAGTCTTGTGATGCATGTTGTTGTTGTTTTCTAGGTACAAACTTCGTTCGGTCCAACCAAACAGCAGCAGGTGAGGAACATTTGAATAATTTGCATAGTTATATAACTATTATTCATGCTATACACTTTATTTCAAAATTATGGCAAATTCAGTCATTCTTTTTTCTTTTTGATAATAATTTGACCCTTGATGTGCACTTTCAAGGTAATCTGCACAGGCATCCCAAACAGACTAAGTGAGTGCTCGTTAAAATTAATACATCTGGCAATGTTGCATATGTAACGAAGCTATTTATAGGCAAGTTTGTGTGAAATTTCTGCTGTTCCCATATGAACCCTATAAATCGCTTGGTTACACAACATTTCCAGATGTATTAAGTTTTAACAAGTGCTTGCTTAATTAGTGAGTTTGGGATGCCTGTGTGTTCTGCAGATGCAATAGTGACAAAGAGGACTAATTAACTAAAACATAAAAGAAAGGTAATATTGTCATATTTTGAAATACGTTGTATAATTGTGTGGCATGGATTGTGCATGTACATTACTAGCTAATTCAGAACTTGTACCTTTACACATTCACACCTTCACCACCGTGTGAGTGGATCTACATTCCTTGTTCCACCTGTGATGTTATTCGTTTATTGGTCCCAGACAGAGTTGACACCTACATTTTAACTTTCTCTTCTATGTGAAGTTGACCTGAAAATGTCAATGCAAATCTTGTTTAGCCTGAATTTCATATGATTGCTTCAAGTCATTTTCTTCTCTCAGCAATGTCTGAATCGACCGGCTGTTTATGCCGTCCAGCGACATCACTACTCAAAACCTGGGTAGTGATTTTGATTGGTTGATTGTCTAAACATTCGCATAATTACATGTATGTACTGATAATTATGAGAAATTTTAGCGGGATTGTCGTTTGATATTCAGCAGATCCCATCCCTGGCATGCTTGCTTGGAGTTCAAACATTAAATTTTGGTAATCTTTATCATAAACAGCAAAATTGAATTGCTAAATATTTAACTACAATTGAAGAATCGTTGCGGAGAGTCAGTAGGTTTTTCATTTAGAGCCACTTTGTGGTTTCGGCAGTGATTTTTTTTATGCGAAGTTTTCTGAGATTGAAGTTATAATTCAACCTTCTGGTCATTTCCACCGTGAAGTGTTATGATTCTGTTAGCTTTTCTTTCTTGTTTCCTTGTTTTCGTTTTTCTTTGTTAAGGACCAAATATCTTCTTTTCAATTAAAGCAAATCGTTGTGTTCTTAAACTTAGTGTTCCATGTGTGTATTTATTTCATTGCTTGATTGCGACCGAGTTTGATTACACAGTACAACCGGTTCAGAGTTGTACTGCATGCAGTTGACTGTTTGAACGTTAATCATGAATTATGATCGAAAAGAGTAAAGCAATTCTGTATCATGTTATATCATATTGTGTCAGAAAGTTGGAAAGCTAAGAGCTTTTTACTTTTTTCAGTTGTCCTGTCGAATGCTAAATTACATGTAACCAAATTTACCACCGCTGGACATAAAGACATATCTAGAGTGCATTTTGCATACTACATTTCTGATAATCTCAAAGTGGTGGCAATTATGCCAGACTTATGTATTGGTACGAAATCATGATCATGTGATAAGAATTACGTGTTTACCATAAGTTTTATTTGCATACTCTAGGTCAACAGCAATTCGTTAAATACCATGTCAAAGATGGTGTTGCTGTAGTTAGGTTGGATACTCCTGGATCTAAGGTTAGAAGCCTTCATCAGTTTCTGTTTAAGCTCCTGCAATATGCCAAACCTGTGCTTAGAAAAATGGCTCAGTAATTAATTTCTGATCAACTGCTTGATTCTGTTTTCAAATGGACCATTTTCGATATATTAAAATTCATTCTTGGCTCTGAGGCTTGGGGGAATAAAACAAAAGAAATGTATTATTCCAGGGTTCTCAATAGATTTTTAAGTAGGAGGTGATCACTGATAAAGTAGGAGGCTCTTCAGCAAAGCCAGAGGTGTCAAAACAAAGCAAAGAAAAGCGACTTAAACACAAAGTAAGCGGCTATAAATCCCAAAGTAAGTGGCGATCAATCGCCGGGTGCCGCCTTCTATTGAGAACCCTGTTATTCATTGTTGAGCACCCTCAAGTATGAGTTTTAATGTAACAAAAATGATTTATTGATTTGCTGGAAATTGGAGGTGTGACTGATGAGTAAACTGAAATTTACATCTACTGACCATTAGTTGCATGTATCTAGAAAAGGGTAAAGATGGGGGTGGGGTGGGGTTGGGGTCTTGTTTCACTCACAGAAATACACTGTATTCTAAGACAAAACTAGTGGGACCGACAATGATGTTGAACACAGTCGTGTACAGTTCATAAAATAATTTCCTGTTGAGTAGAATTTCTTCAAAACACCAACCAGTACAAAAGATATTAGCTCTTGAAAATGTGCAACAGGTGTCCATTTATAAAATTTTAGTAACAGTGTTTGTTGCTAAGTTTTAGATTTGAAATTTATTATTGTTTTTTGTTTGTGTGGTTTAGGTCAATGTCTTATCTGAGAAGCTTATGTCAGAAGTTGTTGAGGTAAAAAGATACTTAATTGTAAATTGACAGTCAATGATGTAAATTTGTAAGTGTCATATTGAAACTAGGGTATTATTTTATTCCTTTACATTGTATATGATCTACCATGAAATCTTCTTTATAGCAATATAAGCCACACTCACTTTCAACCTTGATTTTGGAAAAAAGTTTACAGGAATGAAACTCAAAAAAGAACTGAGGTTGACCATTTTTGTGTTGAGCTTTATTGTGAACAACTTTAACCCATGGTGTTCCGTGACAGGAATTGTAACCTTGGCCACAATAGTGGGAGGGGACTGCACCCATCACTCACCACTGCACCTACTAACTGATCCCCAATATATTAACAAATGAATTTTTTATTGATTTTGCCAGGTAATGCGAGCTGTTGAGTTAGACCCTGAAGTGAAGAGCGTTGTGTTGGCATCAGCTAAACCAGGATGTTGGATTGCTGGTGCTGATATCAAGTAAGAAAAAATGTGATTTTTTTTCTTTTTTTATCGTGATTTTGAAGTTATGTTCCTTCGCTCTGTTTGGAAATAAGAAAACATCAAGTGGAGTGAGCTCCGGAAATCACATCCCTGTCCCTGGTTGACAAAAAAAAATTGGATATTCAGTATTGAGTATTCCAGTAGTTTTTACAAATGTATTCCAAACATGTTATGCTAGTAAAATTAATTAAAAATACATGTACATGTAATCTTTACTCCTAGAACTACTTGCCTCTTATAGGATGTTAGTTGTCTATGACACCCTAACCCTCTCCTTTTCAACCCTTTTAAATGTATCTGACTTCCTATCAAATGATGAACGTATATTCCTATTTTTTCTTAAAAGTTAATTATGCTTTTTTTGTTTATTATTTTTTAGTATGTTAGCCGCTGGTGATACTGCAAAGAAGGTGATTTTAAAAGTCAGAGAGTTAATTAATAATGAAGAATTATTTGCATTTTTATTACTAGTAAGAGTGCTGCTCTATGTAGTAATTATTATGATAACAAGAATGCCCCAGTCACTTTTGTTAATAGTACAGGGGCTCTGATAGGGTTAATTTTTGTGCAGGAATTGTGTGGGATTGGGCATTATTTCTGAAACACAAAGTGGTCATATCAACAGATTACAAACTATGCATACCATGCCAATAGTAAGGTTAACTTATTGACTGATGTTATATTGTGTTAATTTATTGTGTTTTTGTTGTCATTGTTTTTGTCACTGTGTAACAAATGGCCAGGGTATTTGATCAAGAACGTGATGGAAAAAATAATAATAACTATTACATTTTTTTTATATGGGTCCTAGGTGCAAGAAATTTCATCTAATGGCCATGAGATCATGAAAGGAATAGAGGTTTGTTATATGCACATTTTGAACTAAATTTGGTACTTGTGACCAAGGAATAGATTTTTACTGCTCAGAGAAAAAGTATTTTATCCCTGATGAAAATTTTTTAGAATTTTAGAATACAAGATTGAGACTCCAACATGGCTTTATTTAAATCTTATACCTTGTTATCTTGTTGCAGGATAGTTCCAAGCCTTACGTTGCTGCCATCATGGGAACCTGTCTTGGAGGTGGTTTGGAGGTAAAGTTTCCTAGCAGACCTTGTTTTTCTTTTGCTTTTATTTTTGTTTTTGTGGATAACAGCATACAATCAGAAAAATCATTGTGGTTTTAAAGAAAAACTGAATTTTTCATAGTGTACATTACTTATTATTATATTACGCTAGGTACAAAGAAAAGAGGAATCTAACATCTGAGACTGAGCTGGCTTTGAAAAATTGTCTAATTAACAGATTGTGAATCTGATTCTTGGTTAGAGCACGAGCAGTGTGCAAAGAGATAGTGTCCATGGCATATTTTGGTGGTCCAAGGCAACCTCTTGGCCCACTTCAATGCAAGGAAGTAAAACACCGCGATAGCCCACGCTATTAACGGTTTTATTAGTTTTTCACAGGAAGAGGCGTCTCAGTTGTTTCTTGTTTTTTTTTATCCCATGAAGCTGAAAACTCTTGTTACTTGTTTAGATTCCATGTGCAGATTTATTTTTGAAAAACCATCTGCAATAACTACAAAACTTAGTGTTTGTTTTGTGTTTTTTCCATGCAAAATTGCAGCCACTGTCGTGAAGGTCCTCCTTGACTCCAATAATAAGACATTTACCAGATGGTAAATGCAGTTAATGGAACATGAAGCCTCAATGTATGCTCGGCTGTATCTTTAAAGCATCTTAAATGAAAGCACGCTATTTTTAAGATACAAACAAAAGCTGTTTATGGCTGGAACCTTACTAGTTTGTTGAATGTTTGTCGTCGTATGTTTCTTAGCATCTCGCAGGTTGGTGCCTGTTTTCAAGGCCCTATTCATGGCTAGACTTTATCATGATAAGACTATCAAAACCCGCTTCCACGCATTTACGCCGGCAGCAAAGAAAAACTGTGACAATTTAAGTTACTTTTCAGTATTGTATTCTATGAAAGCTATCTACTCCAGATCTTACAAAGCTGAAAAAAAGTATTGGTCACAATAAATTTTACTCGTGCAGTTGGATGAGTGCTTTATGAGTTTCGATCGTCCAAGTCCAAAACCTACCCGTCTCAGACGAGCGGACCAGTGAAAATTTTTTGCCCTGCCTTGTGGTGCGATTAAGTCTACATTGTGACTTCCCCCAAGCTTTTGGCATTACTTGTGTCTTGCCATGTTATTCCTTTTGGCATTGCTTGTGTCTTGCCATCTTATTCATTAGCCTTAATCTTGTCCGATCCAGCCCTTGCGGTGCTTGTGTCCCCCCGCCCCATGCCATCTTGTAGTTATTGTCCTATTTAGCCTGCATGTGCTATTAAAGTTGCCTTACTTTTTCATGAGTATCTCAAGCGGAATAGTGACATTAATGAACACTTTTTAGACCTTCCTCATTCTTGTCTTTCAATCTAAATTGAAGTAATGGCTGAGACTCGTATTTTACAACTTTACGCAAAGAATCAACAGGCTATAGCAGGCAGAGAACAAAAATGGTAGTAACAAAGAGTACTGACATCTCACTACAGTGCATCGTGGACTACATTTAACTACATAAACTGTGGTTAAAGGATAACAGGCTCATTCAGGCCAAATGTTCGGAACCTTTTTTCCGGCATTTGTTTTCACTTTCAACTAATGTTTAGGTATCGTGAACCTGTCCAAGGTAAAAAGCTGCAATATTTATTTGTTTTTAGTGACTAATGCCTTTATAGCACATTGGGTTGTCCAAGGGGCAACCACTCAGAAGAAATTGGTGGCCCCATTGAGAATTTTGGTTGTTCAGGACAACAAGACAACCGTTAAATTCTAACCCTGTAATTTCTGTTCTTAACTTGCCCAATAGGCAAGTGAAGTTTTTTGAGTAATTCAAATGACATAAGGACTGCGTAATCAATCCTGCTCATCAAAACATTTCTGGGGCTAGTTGAAATGAATTTTGGGCTAGTACATGCTAGCTGTAAAACTGACTTTCTTTACAGTATTTCATAACCAATACAATCAACTCTCTTTAAGATGGACACCTTCGGGACTGTCCCTGGCTGTCCATATTAGGGAGGTGTCCAGCTTATAGAGAGTTAAGGTTAAATGAGACACCAGTAATTTTAAAGCTGAACCGTTTTTGCAATAAATACCCTTCTTCTTAACTTGTACAAAACAGCTAAAACTGGAATATTGTAACAGAAAACTGTAATAATTTTCTCATTATACAATCAAACATTCATTACAAGCAAATGTTCACGGCTTCATGGTCTAAAAGTGTAACAATATACACTCAGCGATCTGGAGCAAGACTACAAAATATTCCTTTTGCAATTTACTGTCATGTAGAGTACCAACATTATTTTCCGTTTTGAGGTATTTTTCGCTACATAAAGCACTTTCCAATCGTCCATTAACAGTTTCAAAAGTGTCCGCTGTCTGTCTTAGAGAGGTGCCTGTCTTATAGAGAGTGTAGTTACAGTAAAATGACTGAAAAACGCAGGGATTAACACCAGGTGTCCGTCTTATAGAGGTGTCCATTAAGAGAGTTGACTCTTTATACTTCATGTCATGATGACAAAATCTATTTTCTTATACTCCTTTCTGAGCAGCCTTCTTATTCCTAACCATTAGTTCTAGTTTATGAAAAGCATTATTATTACTACTATTATTATTATCATTGAATATTATTTACAATTACGGTATTTTTATCGTTAACTATTATATGAATTATAAAAATAATGTTTTCTACAATAACTGTTTCATACATTGCAGGTTGCCTTAAGCTGCCACTACAGAGTTGCAGTAGATAATGCTTCAACTGTCCTTAGTGCTCCTGAAGTTATGCTAGGTTTACTTCCTGGAGCTGGTGGAACTCAAAGGCTGCCTCCACTTGTAAGTATCACAATTTTATATGCTCTTCTGTCCTTTAACTCCCAATGAACACTTATTTCCTGATGTGACCAGCATCTACTGTCTCCTTATTAATATCACTGCTTACAATCATATAATCAAAATGAAGCTAACTCAAGAATAATAAATAAATGTGCCTTACGTCTAGTGGTTATGAATGTCTATCCATGAGCTAGGCTGCGTCGCAGATATTATCTAACCTTGGTTAGTAACGTCTTCGAAGAAGTGCTGATATCCTTGTTCTGGCCCCCAACGGACTCAAGAAATTACCAGAAATGCATTTTGAATTTTCCTTCAACCTGATTTGCAAATCGACACTGGCTTAAATTTTAACAGGCCAATCATGGCACATACTCAAATCCTGGTACACAGGTAGGGACCCTGAACATGGATGTTGGTGCTGTTTTTCAGACAGACTTACTGTGAGCAAAAGTTTAGCGCCATCTGTGGCACAGGCTACCCATGCACTTGTATGTTTTAATTTGCTCATATCCAGCAAAGTTCTACCTGCATTCAGACATGATCTTACAGATCAAATACCATTGGCTATCATTTTGAAACTGAAGAATTGCACGCATGTGGTAGTGCTTTTTCAAAGTAAAGGTCAACATGTACATGCCTGTCAACTTTTCTGGTTAATGTCTCGTCAAATAAATTGTGTAGTGCTGTGAGACACACTTATCTTCAACCCTGGTACAAGGACAAACATTATTGCAATAGAGTTTTTTTTATTTTGATAATTATCATGATTCCTCCAGGTTGGACTTCCAGATGCTCTGGATATGATGCTGACAGGAAAGAATATCAAATCAAGCAAAGCTAAAAGGATGGGACTTGTTGACAGCCTTGTAAAACCATTAGGTATTAACATCTGTATCTAGGAAATAATCAATAAAACAGCACAATTTGTGCTTTGCAATGAGATCTTTTACATTTTTATACATATAGCTGCACCTTAAGGTCATCAGTGTTGGACCCTCTCATTGTTGGACCATCTAATAGGACAAGTTTTGGTGATTGAACATTTCAAAGAGCCACCCAAGGACTATAGAACCTCATTTTCAGATTGTATTTGTTTTGCAGACTCTTTAAGTCATTTGAAACATTTAGTCTTGAAAGTCTTTTATATCCTTTCAATTTTCATCGACTTATTGATTATTTCTATTTGCGTAATGTCATGAATGAAACTGTAGATCATACATTTTTGTTGTACATAGACTAATGTATTGTATGCTGCTCTGACTACCTAGTCAATAAATATTATTATTATTATTATTATTATTATTATTATTGCTGTTATTGTTTTTTCTCACAAGTAAGAATATTATTGTAGCTTTATAATTTTTTTTCTTTAAAAAAATGCGCTTGAAAAAGGCTTTGTTGCACTTGAAAATAGTTTTTTTTATCGAAATGAATTCTAAACAGATTTAAAAAATAGTTTTGTTGTCAGTAAAAGTTTATTTCTTTCTAGATATTATTAAAACAGTAGAAATATTATAAGATGTAAGAAGTGGATTCTTGATGGGTAAACACTGCTCTCTGGTAGAAATTTATCGAAAGTTCACTCATTTGATAGGTCCTGGTCTGAAATCACCAGAAGAGAACACCCTACAATACCTTGAAGAAGTCGCTGTCCAGACAGCCAAGTATGTCATGACTGCCTTGTCCTTCTGAAATCAGAAAATAATTTAATAGTAATTTGTATGAAAGTGAATGGTTCAGTTAATCTTATACCAGTTCTTATAGTTGCCAGTAGTTTTGGTATATTAATTGTTAAAATTCTCTTTTGTGTTTCTGTTTTATAGGAGCCTTGCCAGTGGATCTCTAAAACCTGACAGGTCACATTCCTGGGCTAATATGAAAGGTACTCTTAGAAATGAAAAGAAAAAAATCCTTGCAATAATTTATATCCATGTTATAGGTCAAATTTTTAAATCACAATGATTTTTTAACTTAGTGGGTTGACTCTCAATTTCCTTTGTCTCCTAGCCCTAATTAGCATTCACGAATTAGAGCTAGGAGGAAAAGAAAAAAATTTTACTTGAATTTAATCTTGACCTGTAACATGGACATTATACCTTCACCTCTTGTGGTATGTAATTATCATAAGTTAACTCAATAGAGAATAGTCTTGGTTAACTTAATGGTCACTGACATTTTTATCATAGACTTGCAATACAAAATCACAACAGACACAAACTTTGGGCGAAACTTTGTCTTCAAGAAGGCCAAAGAAACGGTAAGTTCATCCACTGTTTAATTTCATGTTAACATCTTGTGTCTATATTGTGGCAGTCAGTTGACTAATCATAAAATGTTCTTGATTTTACCATGGAATGAAAAGCTAAATCACTTTTAAACACTGTAAAAGGTCAAAACAGAACAATGAATTAATTTGTTAATTGGTGGTGTTAATGTTACGATATTATAATATATTTTGATATTTATCAGGTTATGAAGAAGACAGGAGGTCTCTATCCTGCTCCTCTGAGGATCATTGATGTAAGTTAATAACTTTATTTAGTCCCTCAAGCACCCTGAAAGTATACTTCTTTATTATTGCTTTCAATGTGTATCATCTCCTTTAATTTCTTGTATAGTCTAGAATGAACTGTATTAAGGGGGTGTTTACTAGAGAAAACTCGCACTGACATGAGTTTCATACCGGGATGACTTTTTGATTTCATACCATGTTTACGTGATGACTGGGTCATTTCATATCTCGTTATTTGCAGGTACACGTCATCTAAATAAAATACGTGTGATTCAAAATCGCAAACATTATGCACATGGGCTACCCTTTCCAGTCTTCCAGCAGACTGATTTCACACCGAAACGTGTGGTCGTTTCACGTTTACATGATACCGTTGTGAGATTTCGTACTGGAGTAAAATTCTCACCCCTGTACAACAACCGGGGTGAACTCACGCTGGGGTGACTCTCGCTGGCATGACATTTTGTGGTGGTATCATGTAAACAAATGTAGAGCCATGAGAGGGAACCAGAGTGAGCTCGCTTCAGCGCAAAAGTCGCCCCTGTGTCATGTAAACACCCCCTTTGTTTTTGTTTCCTTTCTCTAAAGTGCACCTTTCCTGTTTATATCTGGTATTAGGTTGTTAAGACAGGTTTGGAGAAAGGTGGATCAGAAGGCTATATAAAAGAAGCTGAGGTATAACCTATTGTAGTACCTTTTTAAAAATTTTAATGAGGTTAAATAAATATTTATTTAACAGAGTTAACGACAAGGAGGGCGAGCGTGGTCAGCGGTCAGTGGTTTGGCTCAAGCGCGGTCAGCCTTGCTTGCATCACCTCCATGTGCTCAGTACAGTGTTTTCATGGCGCCCATTCTCTTCGTTTTTAAAAGTTACAAGGCAGTCTTCCACTTTTTTCCCTCCCCTCTCTGTTTGCTTTTCTAGCCCCCCCCCCCTGTTTTTTTGCTTTGCATTTACTAGGCTTCATTTCAGTGGGAACGTTTTTGCTTCAATTTAGCTTAGGATTAGATGGAGGAAAGCGTAGGTCACAGTCATGCAATTGTCAAACATTGTTATGCATCACTTAATGAGAGTATTTAACTTCCGGTTGAGTAGGACTTCCTACTCATTGTCAGTCAATCAGATCATGAAACAATGCTTTTCTTTTGAACAAGATGTTTGGTCTTTTTCTAATAATTGAAATTAAGCTCCTTCATGGACATTTTACTCGTAAAATAGAGTTAACTAATTAGAGCGTACTTCAGCCATTGTTTCATTATGATTTACTTTGCCCTGGGTGGCAAATATGTTGCTATCGCACATAAAGAACACTGCGTGACTCAGCTCTGGTTCATGAGCTCCTTGTTTATCTTAGATTACATCAATAACTGACTTTCAGTTGTTTCTACAAACTTCGGTGATAACAAGTTTTCATTGTTAGTAGCTGTAATCAATACTATGTTTTACTTATATCCATCAATGCTAGCTGTGTGCTCCTTTGTTTTGTTCACTTTGCGTGCACGCGTTGTATTTTCCAATAGTAGTTTACTACGCATTAGTTTCTGATTTTCCCTGCCACACCCGCCCTTCAATTCAATAAAGCTGGACTACTGGCTTGGGTGCACACCTGCTACTTTTACCTCCGCGTAGCAGGCCGGGTGGGGCCCCCACCCCACCTTAGTTTATTCACTCCTGGGTGGGGATGCGCTCCACTCGTTGCCTCGTCCGTTACCGTGCAGGGTGTGTCGCTGCCACCCTCACTGCACTGCTCATTGCTAGGGTGTGTTGCTGCCACCCTCATTCCA